AGAGAGAGAGAGAGAGAGAGAGAGAGAGAGAGAGAGAGAGAGAGAGAGAGAGAGAGAGAGAAAGAGAGAGAGAGAGAGAGGGAGAGAGAGAGAGACAGAGAGCGAGAGAGGAACCATACTTAGAGAGAGAGGGGGAGAGAGAGCGAGAGACAGAGAGAAAGAGAGAGGGAGCCACAGCTAGAGAGAGAGAGAGGGGGATACAGAGAGAATGTGTGTGTGTGTGTGTGTGTGTGCGTGTGTCTGTGTGTGTGTGTGTGTGTTTGTGTGTGTGTGAGATAGAGAGAGAGAGAGAGGGAGAGAGAGAGAGGGAGGGAGCCATGGCTAGAGGGTTCAGTGTTGTGTTCAACAAAGACATTTTTCGTGTTCATGACTGTGATGTAACACACTGCCCTTCCCGCAGTGTTCGCAGTTCGGATCCCGGGGAACTTAGGTCATGTTTTCACGCTGCCATCAATACTTGTGAAAATGATAGCCGCTTTCTTGCGTTTGAAACGACGTGATGAGGCCGACGTGTGGAGTTCTGTCATACAGTAGAAGGTTTCCCGCCTCCATTTGTGATGCTTCATTACAGCCTGCATTGTGGTTTGACTGTGACTGGATTGTTACTGGTCTGGTTTTCCGAAACTTGACCGAGTGGTGGGTTGCTTCATTTGCGTTGTTGTCCACGGACAAGATGTCTTCGTCGAGGGGCGAGGGGGAGCCTGTAGGGACCTCCTGGAGGGAATCAGCAAAACAATCCACGAGACGGTCGTCTACGGCCTTGAAATCATGGTCGGACCACACAAGGTCGAAATGGTTCGTCGACTGCTGTTGTGGAGATGCTTCGAACCCCGTTAAACAGCTGTGTGGTCTGTCATCTTCGTCGATGCCAAGAAGCGGCATAGGGTGCTTGGGGTCATCTTGTGGTGGGAGGACGCGAAAGGGAGTCGTCGACGGTTCTATATAAAAACTGTTTACCCTGGGAAGGGCAACTTCGTCGCCAATTCCAAGGGGGCGCTGCTGGACATGAATTTGTTCGAGGGGTTCGGAGCGGGTGTTGTGAACACCCCATTTTACAACAACCTCCTTCAGCAGGGCGGGTTTGTTTTGGCTCGACAGTTTTTTAACTTGTTGGAGGAGAAGGACGTCGGCCTCGACATCCCCTGTGACGTCGGACCTGCCCAGGAGCTGCCAATGCCCTTGCAATTGTGCGTCGGTTGTGAATCCAGCGGGGCTGCGTCGGAGGGGGGGGATTTGGGTTCTGGCGCCGCTTCTCAGCTGCATCGGGGGGAGAGCCGCGGTCAATTTGATGACAGCGAAAATGAGGCAACACCGCTAATGACGTCTTCGCCGTTGAGTCGAAGAGACCGGTCCATGCTGTCTATACCTGGGGCACGACAAGCAGCTCTGGTTCGAGAGGAGGTCGTTGTGGCTCCTGGAAAGGCGGCAGTCCACTCTGACGTGGAATTGGAGACTGCCGAGGGCCATGGGACGGAGGATGAGACCGTGGGCGGAGAGGGAATGCAGAGCACTCTGCAAAAGAGAAGGGGAGATCATCAACACGACGTTGTCGGCTCTTCGAAGAAATAGAAGACCAAGGCCCCGAAGAGTGTGGGGGAGAAACGACAGGGGACAGGGGGGAAACAGGACCGCCAGGGTAACAAACGTCCGGTCTCGAAACAGAAGCAACCTGCATCGGGACCTTCCTCGCCACGACCTCCCATCGACATCGACGCTGAGGTCACTGCTTGACAGCGAGGTGGGCAAGATGTACAATTTCAAGAGGTGGCCGACACGTATGGTGTATTTTTCGGACGACGACTTCGGAGGGTATTTCCTTGTTAGTTCCCAGGACAACAAGAAGGACCTCAAGGCACGTCCTAGACAGTCGAAACTGTCCATGAAAGACATTCGGTGGCAATGGAAGCATAACGGTTTCCCAAGAGCTGTCATGGGGAACCCTGGTGAAAACAAGAACAGGTCCAGAAATGGCGTGAGTTTTGTACGATGGCGCTCCATAAAATATTGTACAACAACGAGTGGATTCTCGCGGATCAAAAGGGAGACGACGCCATCAAGAAGCAAAACGCTGCCCTGTATTCTTATTTCCCGTTGGCGATGGGCGGAGAGAATGTCTGGAAACTGGCCGTGGAATTTTTTGAAAAATGGGAGACAGGTAGATTGTTGGGCCACGATGGCGCAAAGTGGATCGTTAAGAAGAAGAAGGTCATAAACGTCAAGCCGGGGGTCGCCTACATCGACAACGACAAGTTGGGTAGAAAGGAGGTCGTTTACAACGTCCCCGTGGAGCTGCCGACTAAGAAAGGCAAAAAGGAGAAAAAGGAGGGCGATTGGTTCGTGCAAGTGCCTGAGCCGGACACACATTGTTGGAAAGTGATGGAAACACTTGCCGACAATGAGAAGTATCACGTTCTGAGGAAGGTGCTTGATTGCGACGTGGTTTGGGTCCAGGCCGGCTCCCCCTCATTGGCAAAGTTGGGGAAGCTCAATGTGCAGGAAATGGTGCAGTTGCCAGTTGGTGAAGTGCGACCGCGTGCTGATGCAGTTGTGGAATTACTACCAATTCAAGCACGAGAAGAGGCCGGATGCGGATTGGATCCAAAAATACCCTTTCCTGAAATCGAAATCTGTCGTCTTCAAAAAGTTCGAAAGTCGAGGATTGGATGGCGCTTTGTGGGACGGTAGTAGGAAATACGTTTCTGACACGGCGTTGTTCAAGGAGTGTCTGTCGTACATGGGTTGCGACGAGGACCACTCAATTGAGGCGACGGAAAAGTTGGCCGGCCACAGGAAGTTATCCGTCGACTGGAGAAACAAGGTTCTCTCTGTGTTGACTGGGAGTAGACTGAAGAGTCGGGAGATCATACTTGCCGAAGGCATTGTGCACATAAAATGGAAAGACACAGGGGACGTGGCATCCATCGCACCGTTCGGCAACTACTCTTTGGATGCGGACATCAGGAGTGTAGAGCTGAAGGAAGCGGTGACTGCCACAAGGAGCCACACGTTCGTCCTCGATCTGTGCGAACCGGTTGACCTGAAGTTGTGGAAACCGCAAGCGTTGGAGACTTTGAAATCCTATCTTCAGACGTGGTGTCCGTCTCATTGGACTCTTGTTGTTTTCTTGCCACGGCAGCACAACCACTCATTTCTGGCCAGCATGCACCATCTTTCTTTCGTAAAGCTGCTGGAAGGGAAGTAGGTGAGGAGGAATCAGCAAAAGAAAAGCTTCCCCATGGGGAACAATTTGTACACGGAAAACGACCTCATGTACATCCTCTTCAAGGGTGATGATCTGCGCGTTAACACGTCCCTCGTCTACGAGGGAAGGCTGCCGAGGGGCGCTGCTGCTGCGGTGCGGTTGCCTCAGAGGGTTACCCGGACGGATGTGTTAGAGATTCCCTTCACGCCTTGCGACTGGTCGCATACCGCGCCTGAACGACAAGGCAGTGTCTACGGGGACATAAAACGCAATCCGACATAATTCGTCGGTCTTCTTGATTTCATTAGCAAGAGGGGAGAGGGTGTCGTCTTCCTAGGGAAGCCGCACGCGCAAAGCGTGTGGGAACTTATGAAGGCACGTTGTCGCGATGGAATGGAACTCCGACTTGTTGCAATTCACGATGCAACTCGTCAAAAGTGAGGTCAATTCGGGGGCCGACAATTGCGAGTTCATGGTTTGGAAGGCAACACGGGATCGGGTGTGGAGCAACAAGACGGATATGTGGTTCAAGTTGAATGAGAGGAAGAGGAACAAGATATACGACTTCTTGTTTCTGCAAACGCAGCCGAGGAAGAACACTTACGCCGAGTACGTCCGCGACAAGGACCACATGTTGGCGTTGCTCGACAACCACCACTTTGCCTCCCGCATGAACGCGAAGACCTTCCTCGAAAGGCTGCAATCCCTGTACTTCGTCAAGTCCAAGAAGGAGTTGAAGTTCAGCAGTTATGCTTCCTTGATCTGCACTGACGACGAGTCAACCACCGGTGTCGAGTTCGGCGCCAACGCGAAGGAGGAGGAGAGCGACACCGAGAGCCTCGACCTGCAGTATGACGCACCTTTGGCGGAGCACGCCCGAGGGTCCTCGTCGGTCGGTCCGTCAACAAGCCCCACACCCCTCGTGTTGCTGATGGCCAAACCGACGTCGGGCGCTACGCTGATGAAGTTGTTGGAGAGACTGAAAGCTCTAGCTGTCCCCCAACGCGCATTGCGTCCCGGGTCCAACGTCTCGCCCGATCATCCATCTTGGAAGGATGACAACATTCACTTCCTTCTTGAGCCACAAAGTCATTCGCCTGAGGTGGACTGGGGCCATGGCATGATCTGGCATCCAAGAGTCATCCAGCCCGCGACACAAAAGGGCGAGTGGATCATGGCCGTCGTAGTCCCGGGCGCAGGATGGGTGTCCATCCCTGGCGAGTCGAAGTCCACTTTCCTCCACCTCGCGAGGATTTCGGTCCTCCAAAAAGTGAGGGTCGAAAATGACACGTTTGCACCCGACGACTTATCCGTCGTTTCCACAGTCGGGCGACTGTTCGACGAGCTTCAGGACAAGTGCTGGTTGGAACTGACGGAGGACTGCTACGAGGTCGACACGAGCCCGTCGAAGGGCATGGTGGACTGGAAAGTGCCCCCTCCCAGTGGGGCGCACGGGAGTTCCGGGGGGGGGGCACCAGGCGGTGGAGGGACGGGGTTGGTAGTGCGGGGGGTGGCAAAGGAGTCCCACCTAGTGGGGAGGGCGGGTCTCACGATGGCACCACGACATCGGGAGGCAGCGGTGGGGTGGCGGGTTTTGCCGTCGATCGACATCCGTCTATTGGCCCCAGGGCGGAGCATGCGACGCAGTCCGTCGACCTCCCGACTTCATCCGCCGGCTCAGCGAGGGAGACGATGGCAGCCTTGGTTGCTCTCGGTAGCCGCTCTGGCAGAACGTTAAAATCCGTCGGGATCCGAACTACGTCGGTTGAGGTGCCGCCACAGCGGTCCACCGTGTAGAGCCGATCGGGGGTGGGGGAGCCGAGCCAGGATCCCACAATTGGCAGCGGTGCGGTGAGGGACGGGAATGTGTCGCCTGAGCGGGGAAGACGGCCACTAGGATTGGAGCGAGAGGCTACAAGAGCAGCGTCCGGCGACACGGAGACGACGAAGTCCGCCAAGATCCGAACTTCTTTAGGCGGGGGGGTTCGGCCAGGGATTGTCGTGCCGCCGGGAGGGGCAGCATGCACGCAGACAGAAGGAGCTGAATTGCATGAAAGGGAAGGAGGGGAGGAAATGGAGGAAGGGAAGGAAGGGGAAGAAGGGGAGGAAGAAGGGGAAGCAGGGGACGAAGGAGAGGAAGGGGGAGAAACGAAGCTGATTGAATTCCTTGAAGGAAGAGAGGGTGCCGAAGGGGACGTGGGTATTGGAGACGACGAAGGGGAGGACAGTGAGGACGATGCCGGATCTGTAAAGTCGTCTGACAAGTTCGGACAATTGTACGGAGAGCATCGTGAGGATAATGTCGACGACGATGCCACAACAATGGAGATGGAAACACAGGTGGTTAGCAAGTTCTGCAGAGCCTGAAGACTATGAGGTCCAACCACTCACGTTCGTCATCGATCTGCAACACCGGTTCGACGAGGCTTCCGTTGCTATGAGCCCATCTAAAGCAAGTCGCCGTATACGCATCGAAGAAGTTATCGACGGTATCCTCGGCGACCAGCACGTGTCCGCGCATCCATCCACAATGTCTGACGTCGACAACACTAGCAACGTCAAACCTTCCATGGCAGCTGCCCTCACTTTCTCGCCGTCGAACTCTCTGGTGTTGTCGGCTACCCTCGCCGGCGAAGGGGAAGGCGAGGTCATGGGACGACAACATGTCACGTCCCCTAAAAAGTCTAGGGTCGGCACTTAAGCTCTCGACGTGCTCGCTTTGCCCGCGCCAACTGCACCGACGAAGGAGCAGAGAGACAAATCGATTGGTAAGTTGTGAAGAACGCCATAGTGTTTGCGCGCCCAGGCTTTCAAAAATGTGAGTGGGATTTCCTTCGTAGTCCGGATGTCAGCGGACTACAGTCCGCGCCATACACACGAGGATTGTCCACATTGTCTGTCGATACAGGAAGTTCCGAATGTCGACATACTACAACCACTAGTCCTTCCAACTACATCTCATCGGCCTTTCTGTCAGCCAACCAGGTTGGTGGTCGTCGACAGGGAAGACTTCAATGAAAACATAACACTCCATCAAAGGAAGGATCTATCCTTCTATGAAGTTTGTTTTTATTGAAGCATTCCCTCACACTAGTCTCCCCGGCTACGAACGTGGCCAACTAAATGGAATGACGTTTTTTTCTTCTTAGAAAGAGTGGTGGCTTAAGTCAGCTGAGATCCGCACTTCCTATGTCGATGCGTAATGTGGTTAGTCTCTGTGGGTCTGCTGTGGGGAAAAGTCCGCTGAAATCCGAACTTCGGGGAACGTTGGTCTTCCGCTTCTGTGACTTGTGGTGGTTTTCCTTTGTGAAGGGCGGGGATGTCAAGCTTGAATGCATTAGTCGTTTTGTTTTTCAGCCGCACACACGCACCTCGATGCTCATGGCCATGCAAAATCGGGGTTCTATAATTAGAGAGGTTCTGTGTCTTTACGATTATGTGGTTCTCACATTGTCACTTTCATCGGATTTGTGTTGGGAAATGTGTATTCATTTTCCGTTCTGTCTTTCTTCTGTTGTACAGGGGTGGGGTCGTCTCAAACATGGAGGTCCTCGAAATATCCGGAACATATATTGCAGAAAGTCCCTGGGTTGACGACAAAACACAAGGATATGTTAAAGGCATCAGGGGTTGATATGGAGATCAGAAGGAAGGAGCATGCCATTGCCATTGAGGAATGTCTTTCCCTTCTTGCCCCAGAGAAAGGGACATATCCACGATCTGTGAGTAGGGGTCTGGCCATGTATGAGAAATACTTAGCAGCGCGTCGTGCAAAGGGGGACAATGCTTAGAAATCCGTTTTTCACTACCCCATGTGTCCTTTGCTCGATGTTGTGCAGTGTGGGCTACAACACGTGGAACACACGGGGAAAGATTCGCTGCAGTGACTACACCTCGAAACTCGAGGGTTTTGGACGATATTAAACGAGGCTCGGTGCCACCTCACACCGTTCTCTCTATCTTGGCCGATGGTCAATTGCGAATTGCAACAAAAAATTTCCTCACCCTCTTGCATATTGACGGCAGGGTGAATGATGAGGTGGTCAATTTCTATATGGCGCTATCGGGGTCGACCGCATGTGCGTCACGTGACATTCCACCAGGCCTTCAAGTCTTCAACTTTAATTCGTTATTCTTCAGTAAACTGCAACTTCAAGGACACGGTGGGGTGGAAAGGTGGACTAAAAATGTAGATTTGTTTCAATAAGATATTATTTCCGTTCCTGTCCGCAAAGATAATGATCACTGAATCCTCCTTTCCGTCAACTTGAGAGATAATGTCCTCGAAATTTTCAATTCTTTTTTTGCTCGTGTTCTAGCTGATTCGAGTTTTCACAATAGTTTTCGAGTTGATAGTACAGTATTTGGAACGTCAAACATTACATAGGCGGTCGAGTAGGAGTTGGAAATCGATAGCGGAAAATGTTGTGGTGGAAGGAGTTCCAAGACAAGTGGATGGGGCTAGTTGCGGTCTGTTCATGTTGATGTTTGCGACGTTGTTGCAACGTGGTGATCAACCTTTCAAGTTTTCTTGTAAAGATATCCCGCTTATTAGACGACAATTGGCATCATGTATCTTAGAACGTCGTTGTCTTCGATGTATTTGATTGACTTAGAAACTTTCTTTTGAAAGTATTCAATTCATTACTTATTATATTTTGTAAATCATGACATTATTCAAATGTCGTTTTGACAACGACATTGCTTTCTTTTATCGTTGAGAGTTTGAGTTGTCTTCGGCAGACTCATTGCATGTATCGCGTCATGTATAGACTATGTAATCTCTATCACGTCCCAGTCGTCTCTCATGCGGCGGAACAAGTACGCATTGCGTTCCTTCGTCTCCCCGATTTTGATCGTCTCTTCATAGCCACATCCGATACGTCAAATTTTGCAGTAGGAGATCACTTTCTCAAATGTTTCTCACTCTTTTTTCCCATGTTTCCTACTCCCCCTCCTCTCCTGCTGAAACTGCTTCTCAACCGACGCCTATCTTTCCACCACTTCCCTCCACTGACAGTCCTCCCGTCACTTACTCTTTGACCATCACGAAGGATGAGTCTGTCGAGACTCATGCTAGGGATTGTCTGATCGCCTTCTACTCCCGTTTGCTACTGATTGCCGAGATAAACCACACTGTCGATGGGCATGAGGTTCTCGCAGTAGTTTATGTCGCCCGACATTAGCATCATATCTGCATGGGGCGTCCTTCACTGTGCACATGGACAACTCAGTTGTCCAGACTTTCCTCACGGAGCCCAAGCTTTCCCCTCGACAGGCATGCTGTGGCGTGATTTATCCGAGTTTTGTTTCACTACTCAGCCTATGAAAGGTGAAATGAGCCGCGTCGTCGATGCCTTGTTCCGCCATCCTGAGCACAATCAGGAACCCATCTATCTTGATGCCCTCTCGGTCATCACCGTTGATCAGTCTGTGATCGATGCATATTGCATTCAACATTGTCAATATCTAAATTATCGCGACATCCACACGACACTGCGGAGTGGCAAGACCGTTCCTTCATACTCCCTCGGTGAGAACGGTCTAGTGTACTAGCATGGTAGATCTGGTTAGCTCCAACCATGTATATGTGTTTCCTTCACTGGACAACTCCTTGTTCAGGTTGTAGAAGAGTTTCATGGTCAGGCAAATGCCGATCATATGGGCTTTCATAAGACGTGGGCCCATGTTTGCCACCTATACGTCTGGCCGAAGTCCAAGGTTTTCGTCAAAGTCTACATCCACAAGTATCCTACCTGCCATGAGGTGAATAGTGCGAACCACCTTCCGTATGGGTTACTTCAACCTCTACCTATACCTGAGGGCCGTTGGCAGTCCATCTCGATGAATTTTGTTGGTACCCTCCTCCCTTCCACCCAGAGGGGGTCATGAACCACCTTCCGTATGGGTTACTTCAACCTCTACCCATACCCGAGGGTCGTTGGCAGTCCATCTCGATGGATTTTGTTGGTACCCTCCGCCCTCCCACCCAGAGGGGGTCATGATGTCATCTCTGTCGTTGTCGATCGCTTCACGAAGCGTGCACATTTTATCCCATGCCGCTATCTCATTAGCGCTCATGAGGTTGCCGACAGCATCTTCGACCGAGTCGTGAGAGATCACGACTTACCTAAGAGCATCATCTCCGACTGTGAACCTCGTTGTACCAGCACATTCTAGCGACGCCTACACGAGGTGTACGGATCCTAGTTCCGCTTCTCGTCTTCTTACCACCCTCAGACAGATGGTCAAATTGAGGTCACCAATCAAACTCTCAATAATATCCTTTGAAAGTTTATTAGGTATGACTAGTGGTGAGACTTACACTTACCCATTGTGGGGATTGTGTACAACGACGCCGTTTCGTCAACCACGAGGATGCCGCCATTCTATTGCGACCTTGGTTACCGCCCTCGCACTACGACTGTCGCAGTTGCGCTCACACACTCGTTGTCCTGCGCTTGACGGCCGGATCACCCACATGGTGACGATTATGAGGCGCACAAATGAGAGTTTAGCTGACTCCTAGAATCGCATGGCCGCACGAGCGAACTCATCACGAATGCATCACTCATTCAAAGTCGGTGACAATATGCTCGTCGATCAACGCCACCCGCAACTCAAAATGCATACGATTTGCAAATTCAAGCGTCGCTTCTTTAGTCCATGCCGCATCCTTTAGGCCGTCGGTTTTGATATTGCAGCGACTCCGGCCAACTTCCGTGTGAAGCTACCTGATTACCTTCGACAGACTCCCGTACACGATGTATACCACATCTCCTTGTTGCGTCCTTATTGCAGACCCTCCAAGTTGTTCGGGAACTCCCTTATGAGCGGCCTCCACCCACCATGGTGGATGGTCATGAGAAATTCGTTGTTTCCGACGTCGTATCCCCCCGAGTTACCGACAATACCCCTCCACGCATCGAGTACCTTGTGCGTTGGAAGGATTATCCTGATGAGGAGGCTACTTGGGAGCCCCTCGAGCACTTGGAGCACGCCCGAATGTTGGTGTGTGCATATGATCATGCTTTTCGTATTGAGACATTTGCTCCTACTCAGTTGACTGACCCTCTTCCTCCTCCTCCGGCTGAGGGGATTGTTGAGGATGAGCCCACTCCCTCTAAGGTCGTTCTTCAACAGCAGATGAACGCCTCCACGCGTCTACAGTGCACTCGTTGATGCCCTCGCGTCTTGCAACTCACACTCTCATCACTTACCTGTTTCGTACCACTGACTCACACTATCATGTACTCCACCATCAGCTCCTGACGATGTCACCGTTTTGCGGCTCTGCTTCGACATTGGCTCGACTCCTACTTCATCGACGTCATCGACCACCTTGACGACTTCATCCACCTTCTCGACTTCGGCCACTTTATTGGCTTCATCTACTCTAGACGTAATTACTTCACGC